GCTGTCCAGTGTGGATAAAGGGAAAAGCTGATGAACTTGGACTAATGGACTAACAATCCTGCCAGAAGGCGGAGGGACTTTGGCAAGTTTGTTTTTGGGACCCTGGGGGTGGATGGTATCGTTTGTTGTTTGTACAACCCAGGAGATGGGAATCTGGGGGTGGCCAGTGGGCCTTGATGGCCAGAAGCAGCCTGTGTATGCCCAGCAGCTAGGCGGAGGAGAAAAGCCAACCGAGAAGGCAAAAGCTGGTGCTGATGCTAAGTTTGGGAAGCCGTCAGTGGCTGTTAAGCACTAAGTAAGCTGAGGAAGGCCAGTGAGTCTCGTAAAATCACCTGTGGGTGATGCCCTGCTCGTTGTTGCGTGAGAGTGAGGAGCTGAGGAACCCGTCCTTGGGGGACGGATGGGGAACATGGCTTGGGGTGGAGCCCAAGCCAAAGAGGGGACCCAAGAGAGGCCGCATGTGGAGTTTGGATCCCCGACCCATATGCTTGTGCTATGTGTTGGCCTGAGAGCAGGGGTCTGCGTGGCGCATTGATGGCTATGAAAGCCGAGTGTTGGAGCAACAGCAGACAGAAACCCTGAGGGTTGGCGATTACCCCCAACAGTATAGAGTCACCAGTCCCAGAGAGTGCATCCTGGGGGTGGATGGGGTGTGTGGCTTGTAGCCGAGACTACAGCCAGAGAAGGCCAGGAAGCCTGACGGCTCCTGGTGTGTTACAGTAGATGCCGTGAGTGGTTCCCCTCCCTCGTATGAGCAGTGCCTTCGGCAGCAGATTTGGTGGATCGTCTGTTGGTGCCAATAATTGTCTTTTGCCACTAGGTTGGTGCCCTGCCTGGATTTATTTGTGTTCTGTTGTATTTTGTTGTTATATTGTGATGTACTTGCTTTTGTGGCCATGGCTGCATTGTTTATGTTTGCTAAGAAACAAAATTGTATATATGTAGATTGTATGGCAGAAAACACTGAGGGGGTGGACTGTAGGGTAAGGTAAAAAGTATCAGGCTTTTCTGCCCTCCCGCCATTAGGATAGATGCCGGAACCCTGTGGTCCCAAATGCATGCCTGATAGTGGGCACCTGGAGTAGGGTGTGGGCGTATGTAGATGGGATTCACCTAAAAAGACTGGGTTTATAAGGCCGGTGTCACAGGGATGCCAGCAGAAGAAGCAGAACGAATGGAAGAACCATAAGAAGAAGGGGAGCGCAGAGAAGCAGAGAAGCAGAAGCAGAACCACGAGAGAGCAGAGCAGCAGAGACCACCAGAGACCACCGGAGAGCCCAGACAGAGTGAAGACTTGCTGGGGGCTGGGAGGCCTGCCAGTCTCCTGGCCCCCCAGCACCCCTGCCTGCTGTGTACCTGGTAAATCCCAATAAAAGCCTGCAAAAGCCACTGAGGGCTCCAGGACTCTCCTTCACCTGTCTGCCCCGGTCATAGAGATCCTGTTCTGTGCCCATCCTGCCCCTACAGTCACCTATTTTTTTTCAAGATTTATTTATTTATGCATACAAGAACTGGGGTACAGGCCAGAGGTGCGGGGTGTGGGTAAGAGGATTCACCAGAGACAGAGTGGGGAACAGAACAGGCAGACTGACTGAAATACACTGCTGAGGGGAGCAGTGGGTGAGAAAGGTGAGGTCTGCTGTGCCATGTGGGCAGCTCCCTGGCTGGGGATTGAACTCATGCTGCAGTGGCTGCGGACAGCTTCATAATGCAGTGCTTAACCCCTTGCACCACCAGGGTGGCCCCCTTTTTTTTTCTTTTTTTTTTTTTTTTTTTTGTGGGACCCTTGCCGGTGGCCGGGGATCGAACTGGCACTACAGAGGCTGCGGGCAGCCTTGCAACCCAGCGCTCAAACGCTGCACCACCAGCCACCAGGGGAGGCCCCCCTTTTTTTTTCCTTTTTCTTTTTTAATGTGACTGTGACTGAGACCTCATAAGAGTTTTCTGAGATTTAAGAGTCCTGGACTGACAGTTAGCCAGTATACACCTTTAAATGAGATCCCATGCATCTTTGGGCCTGCAAAATCTGTGAGGCAGTTTCCTAGCAATTAAATTTTCAGCAGGAAAAGAGAAAGTGGAAATTTAGAGAAAATCCTGAATCATGGATTTGGAAAACAAAATCATGACAAAGGAATCCTGTTGGAGGAATAGGGAATGTTTAGCTAGTAGATAGAGAAGACCCACCCAGACTCATTAAATGTCAGTGCTTGGGGTTTCCTTGATTTGATGGGAAGTGGGACGAGGTTCCTCTGAGGCTCCGTTGTTCTGCAGAGCTCTTTTCCCACTTGCAGTTTTGATCGATAGAAAAGGAAATTCTTGCTAATTCATCTTTTGCCTTCTCAACTGAGAATGGTATTATACTTCAGAATGTCAAGTTCAAATGTTACGCTGCCAGGTCTTTGACGAAATCATAGCTAACAAAAAAAAAACATTGTCCATCCTGTTGTTCAGTGTTCCTCATCAAAAATCCATCAGACAAAATCCACTTTTTATTGGGAATTTGCCTTTTTTGCCAGGGAACTTAGAGCCAAACATGTTTCTCAGCTGAACTAAATGATTTGCGCCAGGTGCTTGCTCTATCAGTTTCCCCATTCTTTTTTAATTGACTTACATTTTTTGAAAGTTGTAAAAGAAATGCATGACTGTGGTTAGATATCAAACCAAACATTGCCATTCCCTGCCTGCAGTGCTGTTGACATTCTTGTTGACTCCAATGTGCACTTAGTTTGATTTTTGCATAGTTTGTGTTATGTGTCTTTTTTAAAAAAAAAGATTTATTTATGCAAGCACTGGGTACAGTCAGAAGCGCGGGAGGGTGAGAGAATTCACCAGAGCCAGAGCGGGGAACAGAACAGGCAGAAGGACCGAAGTACACTGCTGAGGGGAGCAGCGGGCGGCAGGAGAGGTCTGTGCGCCATGTGGGACCCTCCTCCAGTGGCCGGGGAGCAGCCGGGAATTGAACCAGCGCTGCAGAGGCTGCAGGCAGCTTTGCAACCCAGCGCTCAACCGCTGCGCCACCAGGGAGGCCCTGTGTTATGTGTCTTTTTGAAAATATTGTGTGTGAATGTCATCTTGGAAGGAAATTGGCATATTAGTTTTAAGTCTCAGTTGTTTGAAATATTACTAATAATGGGATTCCTAATGTACAGAAAAATGTCAACTTCTCCATATGTACTCCAGCTGCTTATTGCTATTGCCAGAGGTGAAGTGTGGTGTGAGGTGCTAAGTATATATTGGCTTGTCCCTGTTATGTTTTAAACACATAGCCAGTAAACTCTACCTTCTAATCTTGTACAATGTCATCCTAATCTCTCCTAATCCATTTGAGTATCTTCCTTCCTGCCTGCCCCAAAGCAATTTGTGCTTAATCCAAGTTCTGTTCTTTTCCTTACTACATTTGTTTTAATCTTGGAAGCCCATAATGCCATTTAGTGTTTCTCATTGTCACGTAGAATAAGGTCTTCACCACAGAAGGTCTTCCTTGCTTGAAGAAACACAGTTTCCAGTGCCCTGCAATATATTCTGATTTGATTCTGTCACACAGAGTGGAAAGAACCTTGCCAAAGGAGCAATTCCAGGATCTGCTGGCCTCTGCCTTTCCTTACTGGTTTGAATTTGTAAATAAGGGAAATAAAGGGCTGGGGGTGGGGGTTAGGTTCATTTTCAAATAATCTGATACTAATTTCTTTAGAATTGTTTCAAGAGGTTTCGAAGTAGTTCCTGCGACATTCTGGATCTATTTGGGCAGGTGGGGAAATAGTGTGTTTTCTTTGGCAGCTTCCAGCCGAGCTGTAGACAGGTAGAAGTGTAAGTCTCAGAACTACTTCTGGAAAGTTCGCTGGGCTGTGTATGCAAAGGTGTTACCAGAGAATGTGCCCGGATTGCAAGCAGAACATTACAAACGTCTCACTGAACTCACCTGTTTGTAATGACTCTGTGAAGAGCGATCCAGTGGATGAGAAAAGTAGCACTTTCGTGCAGGTGAGTTTGGTCCCTGAGCAGGAAGCTCTGGTACAAAGAACCAGCTTAACCAGCAGCAGAGTCAGCAGTGGATCCTGAAGAATTGAGCTGGGAGCTTTGGTTGAAATTTGCACCATCCCACTACATGTGAGGTCAGATCAGTGTTCTTAAGGCTCTTTTGATATACCATTTCCCTACTCTCACTCAGATCATTAGGGGCCCCTGGATCAGGTCTGTTTAAGGCCTTCCAAAATTTACCCCATACCTTTATCTGTGGGTATGTTTCCTATGACTCCAGTGGCAGCTGTCCTTTTCCATAGGCCTTGATGACACAGCTCCCTCCCCACCTTCCCCTTCACCTCTTTATCTGCACCCCTTACCAGAGGCCCTGAATTGTATCGCAGGGTAGTTAGGTGTATATGCTGGTATTCTTCCTCCCTGAGCCTCTGTCACCACCACCTCCAGGAGAGAAAGAGATGGTGAACTCAGACATTTCATCATTGAAATGATGAACTTAATCATTGTGTGGCTCTGTGTCAGCCTTAACTTTTTCTTTGCCTGCCCTAGGACATGGGACCATTTCTCTCTCGTGTTTCCACAACATTCCCCATTGTTTGGGATTGTAGTAATTTTATGTCTGATTGTCAGCTATATTTTGAAGATCTGTTTATAAACTTGAGAAAGCCCATTGGTAGAGCTAACTTGTCTCTCTAAGAGATGAGTTAGGCAGAGAGCTGTTGAGCATCTTCTGCTTTGGCCCTTCCACCTTGTGTCTGGAAGCTGGGGAGAGAAGAGACTCAGGAAATCTTGTCCCCTTGCCCTTTGTTGGGAGAGTGGGATGGTCTTAGAGAAGGGGGCACATTTTGGGTCATGATGGAAAGAAGGATACAATCTCGCCAAGAATTCCTTCTGGTCTGCTGTGAGGCCACTCTGTCTGCGCTGACTTGGGTTGTCTTTCCCCTGCCATCCTTCCAGTTTCCTGAAAGTCCCCTGGCATTTAAGGTTGGGATGATCATTTCACTGTTCACTGTGTATTTCAGGGCCCTGTTTGATTATGACCGGACTCGGGACAGCTGCCTGCCAAGTCAGGGGCTCAGCTTCTCCTATGGTGACATCCTGCATGTTATTAATGCCTCTGATGATGAGTGGTGGCAGGCCAGACTGGTGACCCCACATGGAGAAAGCGAGCAAATTGGTGTGATCCCCAGTAAGAAGAGGTGAGTTGTCCTTATATGGCAGAGGCCTTCCTTGCCCTCTTTCTGGTATTCATTCCTTTTCGGTAGGGTTGGTGCTCAGGATATGCTTTTGACTCCCTCAAGGAGCCCAAAAGTGGCTTCCATGCCCACTGCAGCCTACCACTGGGGCCGTGTGCTGGCAGTAACCAGACTCCTTTCTGACTCCAAAACAGGGTGGAAAAGAAAGAAAGAGCTCGGTTGAAAACTGTGAAGTTTCATGCCAGGACGGGGATGATTGAGTCTAATAGGGTAAGTGGGGCTCCCCAAGGAAGTCAGCCAACACATGAAGAGGAGTAAGAAGTTTGGAGTCTGTCTGATGGATAAGAGAACTGGGGAGCACCAAAGAATTTCTTTTACAAGGGGCTGACTCTGCACTACCAGAATACAAACTGCTTTTCAGAAAGCAGAGAGAAGGCGCTTCTGTGGCCAGTCTGCATCCCTTCCTCTTGGGTAACTGGCTCTTGAAGATATGCTTGATAGGGACTGTCTGGAAGGCACATGTTTGGGGCTCATGAAGCCCCTTGTGGGTGTCTCCCTGGCTGCAGAACCTGTTGGAGCTGTGGGGATCATGAACAGAATCTGGCCTTGTCATTGCAGCCAGGAAAGCTGGCCCCAGAGCTCCAACTGCCCTTCAGACCAAATGAGGCATGAGGTCTCTCTCCATTCACCCCTTTTCTTCTATGAGCTTCACAGGCCAAAGAACTTCCGGAGCAGTAGAGGAAAGAGAGACATGGAGTAGATGACTCTGTGTCTGTCAATGGCACATTAGGGCATGTGTCCAGGAGGCTACAGTGACCTTTGTCCTTTAGGAAGTACCAGTGAGTGCTGTGAGTCTGGATTAGGTAGAAACTTCTAACATCCCTACAACATTTTCCTGTAAACATAATTTTCCTCTTACATCAACTTTCATTTAATCTCATATAGACTCCATTTGTGAAAGATGGTCTTTTATTTAGCTCATCATTGTCTCCATTTTAGTTTTTCTTCCATGCTTTAAAATCCATTGTTCTGTTTTTTTTTTCTTCTATCCTTCCCCTCCATCTTCATATTCTTTCACAGTCGATCAAAACGAAACGTAAAAAGAGTTTCCGCCTCTCTCGAAAGTTTCCATTTTACAAGAGCAAAGAAAACATGGCCCAGGAGAGCAGCATACAGGAACGTAAGTAGCAGTAGGTACAGAGAGCATAGCGCCCACGACCCCACCCTATCTATCTCATTTGTGCCTCCCTTTATGAGAAGACTGGGCAAGTGTGTGTGCGTGTGTGTATATCTGCTTATCTGCAGTCACAGTAGAAACTGGTCTCCACAGGGAGATGTTGGGTCTTTCTTGTCCAGGTCCTTGCTTGGAAAGAGTGTTGGAGGCTCTAAGGTGGAACTGGTCCCGGGGCCAGCCTACTAGGAAGTCCCTGGCACTGGCATCGGGAGTGCCAAGCTGCGTGCTGCCATCCATGGTGGTGATGAGCAGTTCTTAGCCACAGTGTCAGGTTTCAAAAAGGGGGTTTTCCAGAGAACCAGATCTAGGGACTTGGGGGTGCTCTCCTGCTTTCTTCCTCTGTGTTTTCTTTCCCTTAACTTCACTCATCTATGTTAAGAAAAGAGCCTATTCTTCCCTGGACACCTAGCATGGAGCATACTTCTTGAATGACAGGCACACATGTGCACAGGATGGTCATGTGGCTCTACAGACACACTGCCATCCCAGAATGATGGCAAAGCAACTTTCAAAATAAAATACTTCCTGCTTGCAGGAATCATTGGGGTGGGGAGGGTGGAGGGAGAGTGTCATACAACATTGCCCCGATAAAGATTTTCTGAGAAACACAAAGCTGGTGTTTGGTCAAAGAGGCCATGAAGCTGAGTCAAACTTTTAAGAACCAATTTAATCCTGAAAATTATTCTTATCTTGCCATATGCCTCAGAAATTAACTGCTCTGATCTTAACCATAAAAAAAAAAAACAGTCAAACTGGTGAAATGTTTTTCATGACCTCATAGCGAATCATAAACCTCTTTTCTTCAGCCTTACAAAGAGGGGTCTTGGGGTCTGGACTGTTTGGGTTGGAGGGAGAGCCACGTATTCCTACAGGAAATGTCCTTTTTCTAAGCCAACCCGATGGTCCTGGTATTTGTAGATCACTGCCATCTGGGGTGCTAACTAGTACCTCCCCAGCTAGAGTGCCTTCACCCAGGTGGAAGTTTTGGCTTACAATCCTGGGTAGCTCAGTAAGAGGGATTTGGTGCAGTTGGTTCTGCTTGTGAGCAGCAGGAGATGGTCTGAGGCAGAGGCCCCGAGGAGTGATCACCTCACCGTTCCCCAGTTCCAGAACCTCTATACCAAGCCCAGCTTGAGGAGGATTCTCTGTCTGGTGGCTCAGTTGAGGGTGGTTGGGAACTGCCTGTTGGGTGAGAGTTGAAACTGCCTAGTGCTTATTCTCCAGAAGCTGAGCTCGTCCCCTGGGGTCTACACAACTCGGGTCAGCTTTGAAGGCCACACCTCAGATCGCTTGAAGCTTTCCCTGAAGGGTTTGGACAGAGTGAGTCAATCAATACTGGGCAAAAGGTTCCTGGGATGATGATAATTCTGTCTGCATACCTGTTACTCATAAATATGCATTCTTTCTTGCACCCTCAGAGGGAAATGGTAATTTCAGGGGCAAAGCAGAAACTTGGCCTCTACAACTTAAAATTTGGTCAAAGCAGGTGCTTCAAACCTTGGAAAGCCACTTGTCCTGTCAGCCTGTAGGCTATACACCACTCCAGAAAGGTAGTATGCCCCACAGTCCTCTAGCAGCAGCTGGGGCAGTGTGAAGTCCAGGTATTTGGCCTGACCTGGGACGTACTTTCTGTAGCAGAGTCCTTCACCTCATATAGTTGTAGGTCTTCATAGTGTTTCATACTTCTGTCACTAATGCTCACCTGGCTGTGTTCTTCCTTCCCCTTGTCTTTTTTTCTCCATTTTCTCTCCTCTCCCCAATTCGTTCCCTCCCCACCCCTTGTCCTTGCTGTCTGTGAAATCAGGACTTCCCTGGGTTAAGTGACGATTATTATGGCGCAAAGAACCTGAGTAAGTCAAACTTGTACATCGTTAACTGTGCAATGAGTGGAGTTGCTGGGGGTGGGGTATGGGGGACATGGGTGAGGACAGAGGGTGGGGGAGGGCAGTGTTTGTGAGAACTCTGATACCACAGCAGGAGGAAGTACAAGTGGTTCTGAATGTCACACTTCTGGATTCTTGGTGCCCTAATAAAAGCCTATCATTCATGCCTGTGTTTTCCTTTCATACCTTGAAGTAGTAGGGGGACAGCTTGTTGCCCCACTTTCAAAGTGAGGTGAGCAGGAAGTACTTCTCTAGAGGTGATCGCTCAGCTCATCTCTAACCTATTGTTGAGGAGAAGGGTGCCCACTGGTTGGATTCTTCCAGTGGCATAACTCTAAAATAGTGGGCTTAAGAATTGGCTAATTCAGTCTAACTAGGGGCAAGAGTCCAGTAAAGCCCTATACCCAACATGCATCTGGGATGTCCCAGGAGGTCCAGGGGCCTCAGCAAACATTTGTGTGGGCTGGCTTTCCACAGAGCATGTCTCAGGGACTGAGCTGGTAGGGGCCTCAGCAGCATTTATGTACCATATCTATCTTGTGCTGTAGCTCAGGGAAACTCTGACTAACCTCTCCTCTCTGGAAAGTAATTCTAAAGTGGAAAATGAAGGAACCTGGGTGATAGGGCCTTAGCATCCCCAGTGTGCACACAAGCTTGCGTTCAGGTGGCTGTGCCAGGACGACTGTCAGGATATACTCTCCTTAAATAATCACTAAAGGCAGGAAGATAAAGGCACTTCTTCAGAGGATTGCTCAGGAACCAGCCACGTGTGGCAACTCAGCCAGTCCCTCTGGGGGGCGGGGGAGCCACAGCATGTCACGGTCTGGAACAGTGTTGTCTTGGCTGAAACAAGCAGTATCTCTTTCCATAGTGTTGTGTCCATGTCTCATCTTCATTTGCCCATTGTCTTGGGGACGCTGGGCCTTGTCTGGACCACACCAGGCTTTGTGCTCCTGTGAGTGAGGCTGCTCCCCCCACGTTCACATCCAGTCACATCATCCTGGCCTGAGACAGGAGGGCTGCCTTGTCCCTGAGCATTCTCATTTGTTTGTTGTGTATGTTCTGACGTTTTTCTGGTGGATGAGTATCCCACCTCGCTGCTGAGGGCAAGGCCTCTAGGAAGGGGAAGCAAAAGGGCTTTTGGTCCCACCGAACGGTCAAAGTGTTTTTCTGTGGTGACTGCTCAGTGCGCCCAATGCTTGGCCTCTTCATTCAGGAGGACCACACAGTCTGTCCCTTGGGAACTCTGGGGGTGGTGGGGGACAGCCTAGTGCCTGGACGTTTCTTTGCTGTGTCACTGCCTTGCCTTGCCTATTGTTAGCCTTGCGAGATGCATTTTGAGAACGGCTTCAGATAAGGAGGATGCTGCAGAAGGTGGGAAGGCTCAGAGTGCACAGGGAGGGGCTTGGCAGACAGCGAGGGCGCTGAGGGATGTGTGAAAGGTGGGCAGGGCCTCAGGATTGGTGCTGTGCCTCCCAGTTGGTAGCTGGATGCAACAGGCCTCCCGGGGTCTGATTCAGTTGGCAGCTCAGTGTCTGGCTCCCGGAACATTTGAGTTTTGTGCTGCGTGTGACCTCTCAGTGGTGTGTTCTGAATCGGAGTCTCTTTCTTGTTGGCTTGCAGAGGGAGTGACATCCAACACCAGTGACAGCGAAAGCAGTTCCAGTAAGTGTGTGTCATTCCTCCCCCATGTCGTGTCACTCCACCATGTGTCCCAGCCAGCCTCACTCCAGCATTGCACGGCTGCCATTTCTGTTCAGAGGCTAGTGCTTCTTTTAGCCATGTACACTTCAAGATCCTGGAAATGCTGTGGCCATTTTGTCCTTTTGGGAGGGGTTTAGGTTGTCGATCAAAGGAGAGTATAAATGCTGTAATTCTGGCCAGAACTGGACTTAAAAATTATCCCTGGGTCAGACAGGGCCTTGCAAAAGCACCAGCAAGGTTAGTTAATATAGCTGCATTGTGAAAGAGAGTTATCTACTAAAAATGAAACTCAGCTTGACTTTCCATAGCATCATTAAGTGATCCACAGATGGGGACTGTTTTCATATTATATAGAAATGGAACTGTTGTCAGGAACATGATTGGGATGCTCTCAAAAGGATTTAAATGTTACAGGACATCAGAGGTAGTTAAGAATGGGACAGTTTTGTTTTGTTTTTGCTTTGGAATCGACCCAAGTGTCCTTGTATGAGCCCAACTTGCCAGAGCAGTAATGCACATTTGTAAGTTTTATTGTGCAATGCAGTGGACCTCAGCCTGCCTGCGCATTCGAATCACCAAGGAAGATTTCAGAAATCCAGGTATCCAGGCCCTACCTGGGACAGGGCTGAGGCCTGGGCCCTAGCATGAATGCTTTTGAAAGCATCTAAGGGATTATAGGTCGTGCTTACCTGTGGGCAGCCCACCTGTGGGCTGAGAACCACTTTCCTGAAAGTTTCAGTAAACTCACCTAAAACCCCAATTCACTATAAAGATTGAAATTGAAGCCCCCATTCATTGTGAAAGAGGATTCTAAAATATTCCTGGATATAACACAAAAAAAAAAAAAAATTATCCCTGGGTTCCTGAGAAGGGTGAGCTGCCACAGAGAAAATCCTGGCTATGGCACTATGAGCTTTGGGTGCTGCCAGTTTTTATAGATTTGCACAGAAACCACAGAAAAATGGCCCTATGAGATATTGTCCTGGATTTCCTTTTCAGGTTGCCAGGACCTCCTGGGTTGAGGCTTGGTGTTCTTGCCTTTTAGTTGCTTTAAGTTATGTCACTGCCCCATTTTCCTTCAGAAAGCCAGAGAAGCCACAATTCAATCCCCTTGCACATTGGGAGCACTGGCCTCTCGGTAGTGGTAGGTAGGCTCAGAGGCAGCCTGTGGGAAGCATCCTGGGGTGCAGTGCAGATCCTGGTACTGTGGTCAGCCCCTGTGGGACCTCCAGGCGCCCAGCCCCGAGAGGCTTGGCCGCTGTTTCAGGAAAAGCTTGTCATTGCAAGCATATGCAGCGCTTCACCTTCAGAAAGCTGGGCTCAGCCTTACTCTTCAAGGGCACTGGGGACCTCAGCCCAGCTATGTACCACATTCCTGGATACTTCTGGTGAAGGAGGGATAGGTAGATCCTTACAGGGGCAAAATAGGCTGCAGCGTTGCGGACTGACTCCCCAGCCTGCAGATGAGGCAACGTGGGCAGTGTGTCTCCCCATCAGTTAAGGCTTCCCTGTGAATCTTCCCAGCGCAAGAGGCAACTAAGTATAGTTGACTAGTACCTGTAAGAACAGGTCTTGGGAAACTGGGGTGGGTTTTCATGGAGGCTTCACAGCACCAGGCTCACGTGCCTCTTGTTTGTCTCTATTTCACTGAAGCTGAGGACTCCTGACTCTGGTCCCCAGGCAGGTGAAGGACTTCCTGTGCTTTCTTGCCAGTGGCAAGCAGAAAGGCCCACGGGGCAGGTGCCAGCAAATACCATTCGACAAGGCTGTTTTCTGGCAGAGGTGGGGGGTGAGGTGAATACTGTGGTGAGATGACAAAGGCAGGCAGATTACAAAGTGCTAATATATCTGTTCTTTGTTGCAGAAGGACAAGAGGATGCTATTTTGTCATATGAGCCAGTGACACGGCAAGAAAGTAAGCCCCCTTCTGAGAGTCTTGCCTTTGTGTTAGTCTCATGGTCTTGGGCTCAACACTATGGTTGGCTGTGGGGCACAGAGAAGAATGTGGGGTACAGGAAGACGTGGCTGGTGTGCATCCAGCCCTTGGGTGCCTCCTCTCCTTCTTGTTAGTGTGACAGAGAAGGGGGAAGCCCCCCTGACCCCACCACAGTCCTCTGCTTGCTACTGGAGTGCCTTCCAAAGGTTAGGACAACATTACAAGGATGGCAAAGGTCAATTTCCCCGAGGTGTGGCTGCCACTGAAAGAGACACCTGTTTCTCTCTTTAGTGGCTGGTGCTACTGCAGAGATTTCTCCTGAAACTGTCAGGAGGGGAGATGCTTCCAGACCGTGCACTTAGATATTTTCGAATTAAAGGCTTCTTGATGTTTTTGGAGTTGAAAGGCAGAGAATGGCCGGGGATGTTGTCCCTATCTGAGCGGTGGCTCTGGAGAATCAGCTGTCCATTGGGGGCGGCTCACTGACTTCACGCTTTCCCTCCAGTACACTACGCCAGGCCCGTGATCATCCTGGGCCCAATGAAGGACCGAGTCAACGATGACCTGATCTCGGAGTTCCCGCATAAATTTGGATCCTGTGTACCACGTAAGAGCCCAAAGAGGCTTTGGGACCAAGGCATAAGAGGCTTTGGGACCAAGGCATTCACGCCCTGGGGGTGTGTCCTTCTGGTGTTTTATAGCAAGTGTTCAGGGCCAGGTTCTTGGGCTGTCTGGGAACAAGGTGCATTTGAGACTCTGGAAGACATTAGGCGGCAGCAGATTCCCCCAAAGCTGCTGTAGTTGGGAGGCCTAAGACATCAGATGGGCTCGCTCCTGCCCCTGGAGAGAAGTTTGAGAGGCAGCCATGGGGACTGACCAGACATGAGTGGGGCCTGGCTCGAGGTATGGGTGGAGTCTGCTGGGTGGCTCATTTTGGTGCCCTCGTTCTTGTGCCCCATTTGGCACCCTCTGTTGTGCCTCAGCCCACTCATGGGGGTCCAGTTTAAGCTAAGCAAATAAACCCCTGTGTGTGAGATCCAGTGCTCAAAAGAGAAGTAGGCAAAATAGACTTCTTCCCAACTGCTTTTTTCCCTACTCATCTGAAAAAAATTGGACTGGCCCCAGGACCCAGGTGAGAGAACAAGTCAAGTTTTCTGGCTTTGGGGGCAGGTTGTTGTCCTTGGCTGCAAAGTATTGGCTCTCTTCTGGCAGACACCACCCGGCCACGGCGTGATAATGAGGTGGACGGACAAGACTACCACTTTGTGGTTTCCCGGGAACAAATGGAGAAGGATATTCAGGACAACAAATTCATCGAGGCCGGCCAATTCAATGATAATCTCTATGGGACCAGCATCCAGTCAGTGCGGGCGGTTGCAGAGAGGGTAAGGAGAGGAGGTGGACCTGCTGAAGAACCCCAACAGAATGCTCCCACACAACTTCTGCTTGGATCCTCCTGCTTCCAACACTGGGTCTATCAAGTGGTGCTGCTGACCAAAGCCATTCACTGCATGATTCCAGCCCTCAGACTGAGCTGTCTGTCTGTCTCTCCCATGCAGCTCACCCCAGAGTGTCACCCATCTGGGTAGAGACCCCCCTGCAGATATAGCCATTTCTGGGTAGTGGGAACAAAATGTGGAACCTGAGTATGTCAGGGGTAGACTCTTCTATACCACTCTGGATGGTCCTGGGTTTCCCCCAGGTGGATGCGTGGGTGGCCTTTGGGTATCTAATTAAGGCTGGGGAGATGGGGAGTGAGCGGGCTGATGCAAATCTCCACTTTTTCAGGGCAAGCACTGCATCTTAGATGTGTCCGGCAATGCTATCAAGAGGCTGCAGCAAGCACAACTTTACCCCATTGCCATTTTCATCAAGCCCAAGTCCATTGAAGCGCTCATGTAAGTGTTTGCTGACACATACTCCCAGCCAGGCGAGGACCCCTGCAAGGAAACGATATAGTGATGTGTTGGGCAAGGACGGGACCCTGTGGAAGTTCAAAGGAAAGCTTGCCCAGTGAGCCAGGTCAGCGAAGGTGCCTTCTGATTTGAGGGCTGGTAGATGTGTCTCAGTTGGACTTTGGGACCTGGATGGTTTGAGTTAGGGGCTGAGCCCTAGGCCACTGCCGCTCTGAGAGGGCAGCTGAGGAGATTCTTGGGGTGCCTGCAGCAGGCCTTTTTGTTAGTCAAAAGGTAGAATCTAGTCAGGTACTATTTTCCTTCTATGTCCTTGGCAGGGAAATGAACCGACGGCAGACATATGAACAAGCAAATAAGATTTATGACAAAGCCATGAAACTGGAGCAGGAGTTTGGAGAATACTTTACAGGTAAGAGCCCCTGCTGCCCAGCCGACGTCATGTAGGCCCCACCTGGCGCCTCCAACTTTAAGTGGCTGCAAGAGGCTCTGCCACCTTGTGCAGTTTCTGGATGCTTTGGAGCTGCTGACTTCCCGCCTGTTCCAAAGTGCTCCAGTTCCCTCCAGCCAGAGCAACTAAGCCACCAACACCGAATGCTGCCTTAGATTGTGTTAGATCGAGTTGTTCCTCTCATCTTCTAGTCTCTGCTGGATTGTAGGCCACCTGTATTACTTTGTTTCCCTCCTGCCCAACTCCCTGGCTCCCTCCCTTGGCCTTGCATGTCTCAGGTGCTGAAGAAATGTATGTGGCTGATGGTGCTTGCTTGGCGTGATCTTCAGTGTATGTGCATGTTTGTGTTTATGTGGTCACCTGCTTTAGAAGGTCAGGGAAGGTTGGGAAGGTCTCTGTGTAAGAGGTTTTTCCCCTTGTCAAGGACACCAGCATATATATATATGTAGGTTGGTTCTGAGCAAACTAGCTGGTAGTTCCCCAAGAATAACTGGGGAAGGAGTCATAACTGTACCCTGAGTCCTTGTTCGTGGGCTCCCCTCCGATACAGAGCAGGTGGGTGGTCATTGGAGCACAGCCCCTTGCCAGAAATGGTAGCTTTCAGCTCTTTGGGTGACCCGGATTTTCCAAATCTGCCAGTGAGGCTGCTGCAGAATTCACCAGCTGCCAGCCCCATGGCAGCCAAGAACAACATGAGCTGCAAAGTCTGGCACATGACCGGTGCTCAATAAAAAGTCTTTGAACAACACACTTCTATTCACTGCTGCTTAGTCTCACTGTCTCGGCAAATTGACTTCGCGCCCTGGGGTCAGGGCACCTGCTGGGCTTCCCTGTACCCAAAGTCACCAGGCAGCTGACTAGTGGGTATTTTTTTTAAAGATTTAAAGATTTATTTTCTTATTTATTTATTTATGCAAATAAGAACTGGGGTGTAGGCCAGAGGTGCAGGGGGTGAGAGGATTCACCAGAGCAGAGTGGGGAGGCAGAACAGGTAGATCCACTGAAACACACTGCTGAGGGGAGCAGCGGGCAAGACAGGAGAGGTCTGCTGCACCATGTGGGTAGCTCCCTGGCCGGGGATTGAACTCAAGCCTCAGTGGCTGTCGATACCTTGATAGCACGGAGACTTTAACTCCCGCTCCACCAGGGAGGCCCTGACTAGTGAAGCTTTAAACCCACATTGTGCACACCTGTGCAGGCTGAGCAAGCGGATTCTTGGGAGAGGCCAGGCTGCAGGGCTGGGGTTGGGGGGAAGAGTAATGTCGATCACAGCAGTAATTCTGTTTTCTTTTTCACTTCAGCCATTGTACAGGGTGACTCACTGGAAGAGATTTATAACAAAATCAAACAAATCATTGAAGACCAGTCTGGGCACTACATTTGGGTCCCGTCCCCAGAAAAACTCTGAAGAATCCCCTCCAACCATTCTCTTGTGAACAGAAGAAATCAAGTCCCTCTTCCCTCCTCCCTCTTCATTCCTGTCCCCATGGGGAGAACAAATGACTACTGTTCTTGCCCCCTTTTTTAGATATGTCAAAAAAAATTGAGTTTTCTAGTCCTGTTCTGTTTTTTTTTTTAATTTTTTGTTTAGTTTATTTTGGGGGATGATGCCATCTCACTCATCATGTGACTGTGCCCATTCCTGCATGGACCTTTCCCAAGCGCTAGCACAGGTGCAGACCCATCAGAGTCATTGTTTTCATAAAAACCAAGCAGAAGCGAAGAGAAGAGAGGAGGACTGGTGGAAAGACAGACTCTGGACAGCTGCACGGTTTGAGAAGTGAGCTCGACACGCCACGTGATGAGATGCTCCTGGGCATTTCTACCCATCTGTACTGCTGTCTGGCAGCTCTGAACGGTGCAACATAATGGCTACAGAAAGTATCTTATTTATATATAGATATATATATGTAATTTATATAAAATATATAGAAATTATTATATATATATATTATACATTCTCATATAATATATATATATTCACACACATTTGGACTAGACAAATCTATGGAGACTTCATCAATGGTACTGTGTTACTAGAGAAATGCTTTAATTTTCATATTCCAGTCAAATGGCATCTTCCATTCCACCTGGTTGGGGAGGGTTGAACATGGTAGCGAGTGCTGTGCCAAGAGTGCTCGCTTTTGGTCATTCTCTTGAGAGTTGAGGTCTTCTCCAGGACGAGGTCAGCCAGAGGCCTGTGAGAAAGGGCCTTCACCTGGGGATGGGGGGAGAGGGAGCAGAGGGGCAGAGACTTGACCCTCAAGCTGCTGCCGCCCTTGAGGTGCAGTCAGTCCTGCATGGAGAGAATGGCTAACAGTGCTCCATATTAAATTGCCTATTGTTTTATGCCACCTGATGTGTCTGCATGAGAGGTTTCCTTTTTGTTCATTTTTAAGCTGCTGTTAAACCAAAACCATGTTGTGCTACTGTGTCAGCCTTTTCATTATTCCAAATTTTACTTTTACTATTTAAGTGAATGCGTAGAATCCAATTGGAAAGTGTTCTAAAGGCTCGTGACGTTCTGGAGGAGCCCGGCCTAGTGTATGATAGAATAGGTGACCCAGGCTTGGCCATCCAGTCAGCAGAAGGGGTGTGGGGACCGGCGAAGGCTGAGGGCAGGAGCTGGCACTCTGGACTGTGATGTCTGTCTCTACTCATCTGCCAGGGACATGTGGGACTCAGCCGAGGCCCCTTTGCGGGCACCTGTCCACCGACAGAGACAGGGAATCACCTGCCTTCCAGTTCCATGCCAGATGCAGGGCAGCACTGGGCTTGGCCAGTCGCATGCTGAGGAACGCGATTTCAGTTTTTTCCACAGCTGCTTCACATTTCCCAGCTCTTAACCAGCAACTGGTCGCTTACTGTTTCTTTGAGAAAAAGTAGGCTTGAATGCTGTCAATCTGAACAATAGTGCTAAGATTCACTTACTGGTGAGAGATAAAACCTTGTTGCTTTTTCCCAGATCAGATGGCAGTGATTGTGGTTAGTGGAGGTTTTCTCCCACCACAGGTGCAGGCTGCAGGTGTGACTCAGGCCGCTCCCCCACCCCCACCCTACCATGCTCCTTTGAAGCCACTGTGCCTCCCTCGCCACCATGCTGGAGGCGTGACCCAGGGGAGAAGAACATGGAGAGGCTTGGCCCAAGGGTTGGGTGTGATGTTTCCCAGCCCACCATGTGATGGCCAGTGCAAACGATGCCATGCTGAGGTCTCTGTGAACACTACCAGCCATACTGGGGAGATGTGTTAACGGATGTCCTACCAGTGTAAGGAGTCTAACTGAAGTGTGGGCCCAGAAAGAGGGTAATGAAAGGGCAGCAGCTTTACCTGGACAGTACACTGGGTTGAAGGCAAGGAGAGGGATAGAGTGATGGCCAAGGATGACCCTGGTGAGGAGGGGGTGAGCAGGAGTGTTGATGTTTCTGATGCTAAGTGATGTGGTCTGACTGATGCTCAACCCTCTCCCAGGGAAGAAAAGCAAAGATTCAGAGTAAGCATGACACTAGTTGGTTTACCAGTGTTCCTTCCAAGGAAACATATATTTTTTAATAAATGATAGTTGCAATGAACTGTGGCTCAGTGATCTTCTTGGACTGATCTACTGTCTTGGAGTGATCTACTGTCAATAAGCGATCTTGGGGGCAGAGCAGTGTGAGAAATATCCCAAAGCCCCTCCACTTGGCGACAATCAGCTCACCAAGGTCTTCCTCTGGATCTAGACCCCTGTGGTCAGAACTGGTTCTTTCTGAAAGCTATGTGTTCAGTCTGCTCTGCAGCCCCCACCCCCACCCACCCCAGCCCCAACATGCTGCCTCACATAGCACCAACCAGGTGGGGTGGTATCCATGTCTTTGGTGGGGAAACCCAAGGAGCACACAAGATGGGCGGTGCCTGCTACAGTTTGTTAAAGAAAGCAGGGACTGAGTTAGCAGAGAACTGAGTCATAAAAAAAGGGAAGAGGAAAGCTGACCTACTGGCTACCAATGTCTCCAGGAAGCTCTGAGAGCTCAGGGCAAATGAGGGTGAGATGGGCCCATTTGTGGGGCAGGGTGGCAGGCGTCCAAACACTCCCCCTGAAGAGGGGAGGCATGCTGACAGCAGGTATTTATGACATGGCTGCAGTCACCACAACTTGTGTGGAGAAGCTTGAGGAAGTACTGCCAGAATTAAGGTCAAGAGTGAAGAAGATAAATGAAAGAGCAGCCCTGACGTGTGGGCTGAGCCACAGGAAGGACGCTGAACCTCACTTGTTTGTGGTGCCTCATGGTTTATAGGTGCTTCCTTTCGCACATCATCTCACTTGCTGAAAGGCAGCCTGGCAGCAGGCAGTCCCCAGAGAGCTCTGTGGGGGTTAAGGAAGTTCAGCTCCTAAATGCAAGGGGAATAAAAGGCTGTGGGGACCAAGATGTGCTGCCATCTAAAATTCAGCCCCAGCACAGGAAGAGGCCGGGCAACTTGGAAACCCTGAAGGTACATACCTCCCGACAATGAGCTCTGCTGTGACCTGGTGGCCACAGCCCACCTCCTCAGGCGTGAACACAGATCCCTTCCCTGATTCTGCTGCCCACAGCAGAGCTAATCACGCCTGTGTTTCTTCATCTCTCACAGACCTCAAATTACAGCATTCCTAGGATGGCAGTCATGATTACAGAAAATACTCATTTTGAGACAAATGGCCGACTGTAAAGGTGAAAGTGTTTCTAGAAGTGAGCAAACAAGAAAAATGACTGCAAACAAGTGTGAGTCGTGCACACAGCTAAAGCAAAATAGAGATGCAGGGTGAGTAGGACCTGAGTTGCAGGACTGGGAAAGGCTGAAAGGGGAAGTGACCTTAGTGGGGGGTCAAGGTCAAATTCAAAAAGACAGGCCCCAAAAGGGATGCTGGGCTTGAGCAGGAAGGCCAGTGGTGCCCTTTCCACAGGATGCCCTTTCCACAGAGTCACCACTGGCTGGTTCCCCGAAGTCCTTGTGGGAAACCACAGGCGTGACCGCTCAGAACACCAGGCTTAGTGCCTGGATGCCCAACATGTCCTTCTTGGGCGGGGCAGTAGCCATTCGATGACAGCGCTCCCCAGTTGTCCTTCATCCCTGTTCCCACCAAGGATTCCACGGACTCCACTCCATGAATCCTTTTTTTAAAAAAGAAATTTTCTTACATTTTAAAAAAATATATTTATTTATTTACACATGCACTGGGTACAGTCAGAAGCGCGGGAGGGTGAGAGAATTCACCAGAGCCAAAGCAGGGAGCAGAGCAGGCAGAAGGACCGAAGTACACTGCTGAGGGGAGCAGCGGGCGGCAGGAGAGGTCTGTCGCGCCATGTGGGACCCTCCTCTAGTGGCCGGGGAGCAGCCGGGGATCGAACCAGCGCTGCAGAGGCTGCAACCCAGTGCTCAACCGCGGTGCCACCGGGGAGGCCCAATTTTCTTACATTGTTGTTCATTTTTGGACAGTATTAGATTTCTCGTCTCAGGTGTAGTCCCTGTAGTTCTCCCACCACCATAGTCCTTTTATCCATTCAGTCTGTTCCTTGGAGACTCTGGGACGCTTTATTATGTCTGCAAATAACTTTCTGAAGCTCAAATTCCCATTTTCAAAAGCTTCTCTTCCCCGCACATCCAGAAGTATCAGGTTAACTCGGCGCCTCCCCAGTGAGCCGGGTGTTGATAGCGCGCCTTGCCAGATGATGCAGCCTAGTGCCTTCGAAGCCACACCTGCTGTGACAGCAGGACACCTGTTGGCTTTCATGACAATCTGAGTGAACTGCCTGAGTGGCCCAGCCCCCCTGCCACTGGCGCGCTACCCAGAAGGATCTAGTGTACTTCAGAGGGCTGCAATGTGGGTGGTTTGAGGAGGATTCAGACCTGCCTGCTTACAGTGAAGAGCATGTATGGGGCCTCCCAGGTGGCGCAGCGGTTGAGCGCTGGGTTGCGAAGCTGCCTGCAGCCTCTGCAGCGCCGGTTCGATCCCTGGCTGCTCACCGGCCACCGAGGAGGGTCCCACATGGCGCGCAGACCTCTCCTGCCGCCCGCTGCTCCCCTCAGCAGTGTACTTCGGTCCTTCTGCCTGCTCTGCTTCCTGCTCTGGCTCTGGTGAATTCTCTCACCCTCCCGCGCTTCTGACTGTACCCAGTGCATGTATAAAAAAAAAAAAAAAAAAGAGCATGTATGAAAGGATGTTTTGGCTGCCTTCCTGTCCCCACAAGCACGGAATTCCACAGGTGATAATAAAATTGGCCGTCTAAACTGGTCCCCCCTCACATGGGGCCCAGTTATGCAGAAAAGGGTCCAAGCTCCTTAGCATGGCCCTTCCACCATCAGGCTTTGGTCTTTCTCTCCTGCCTCATCTCTGCTGTGACCCCTCCTCCCAGCCCCAGCCATGAGTCAGTCACCTGAACAAGAGCCCCATGTGTTACACTGCTTTTCCTGCCCATCAATGCCCTCACTGCCACCCCATCTTGCTTACATGGAAGAGTCTCCACAATATTTTAAGATTCCATTCAGGAATTCCCCTCTTATGCTGTTGTTCCTGAAGCACCTCCTTTCCTCCCATCCCACAGGTCAAATGGACCATTCCTTCCTCTTTGTTCAATTAGACCCTGAAAGAACTTTTGTCATCATTTCAATACCTAACATTTACCTCACGCTTACCCTTTCACAGGCATTGTACTAAGTGCTTTGTGCTTTTTCATTCGCTTATTGCCCCAAACAGCCCTAAACTGAGGCAAAAAGAAGTTACACAACTAATAATAAGCAGCAACACTATGAGCTGACCCAGGCTGTTGGGCTGCAGGAGTTGTCCTCTGAAGCATCTCCCTGGCGCAGCCTCTCCCTTTGCCACACTTGGAACATTTTATTACCCTTATCACTTTATACCGTTCTCTCCTCAACTCCTTTTTGACAGCTGAGATATCTTATTTATCTTCCTATCCCGAGCATGGAGCACAGTATCTGTCACTCAGTAAGAGAAGAGATGTACCAGTCTTTGGGTTCAACATGAAAGGAGAGATTTGACTAGGCCTGAGCCTGTGGTGATTGTGGTTGTAGCGGGAGGATGACACAGCAGGTTTTCTATGATTGGAGCAGACGGGTGAAGGAGGAGTCCTGGAGCCCTCGGTGGCTTTTCAGGGTTTTATTCAGTTGACCAGGTACATGGCAGGCAGGAGTGCCAGGGGGGCCAGGAGGCTGGTAGGCCTCCTAGCCCCCAGCGAGTCCTCACTCTTTCTGGGTTCTCTGGTGTTCTCTCATGGCCTCTGCTTCTCTGCTGGTTGTTCTCTTTAATTCTTGCTTCTGGTCTGGTCTTTCGCTCTTTCGTTCTGCGTATCCGTTCTCTCTCTTTCTCTCTCCTGGTGCCCCTGTGATGCCGCCCTTATAAACTCAGTCTCTCAACCCAGCTGTACCCACTTACATATGCCCACAGCCCACTCCGGGTGCCCGCCATCAGGCATGCATTCAGGACCGCAGGGATCCATCATCAATCCTAATGGAGGGAGGGCAGAAAAGCCTGATACTTTTTTACCTTGCCTCACAGTGGTGAATATGAAGGTGGCTTGTTTTCTGGTGAGCTTTCATTCTAGAGTCCCAGCAACTCTTTGCTGGGATCTTTTTTATAAATATTTTTATTTTTTATTAGTCAAGATAATCTTTAGGATATTATACCCTAAAATTCCCCTTAGTGTAAATAATACCCACAATGTTAGGAAGGCATAATCATGTGGGTTTCTCTTCCATATTCATTCCATTTTAGTGAACTCAGTAAGTTTTTTAAAGATTTATTTATTTATGCATACAAGAGCTGGGGTACAGGCCAGAGATGTAGGGGGTAAGAGGATTCACCAGAGACAGAGTGGGGAACAGAACAGGCAGACTGACTGAAACACACTGCCAAGGGGAGCAGCGGGCGAGGCAGGAGAGGTCTGCTGTGCCATGTGGGTTGCTCCCTGGCTGGCCGGGGATAGAACTCGTGCTGCAGAGGCTGCGGATTGCTTCATAGTGCAGTGCTTAACCCCTTGTGCCACCAGGGAGGTGAACTCGATATTTAAATAGTGAGTGAACTATTTATTTTTAAATTTTGTAAAAATTGTATTTGTTTTTTAATTGGGGTCATGTTGCTTTGCAATGTTGTTTGTATTTTGGGGGTGGACGGTGTCCCCCTTCATGTGTTATTACCATAGTGTACCCTCCACCGAAGCACCTATAGTCCCCCACCATAGTCCATTGTGCTCCCTCCCCACTTTCCTTTTGCCCCTCTCCTCCTCCCTCTCTGGATTCCTCAGTTATCTAATCAGCTTTCAAGGGTTAGTTTCAAGTTTTGTTTTATCTGACACTTATATTTCACTTACAATTGACACCACCTGGTATTTTTCTTGCTCGTTCGTTCTTACTCATTTCCGCTTAGCATAATCCCTACTAGATCCATCCATGTTGCTGCAAATGTCATGAGTTTACTTTTTGATGGCTGTGTAGTATTCCATTGTGTACAAATACACTATCTTCTTGACCCATTCCTCTGTTTCTTGGCATTTAGGTTGTTTCCATATCTTAGCTATGGTAAACCGTGCTGCTATGAACATGACAGTGGAGGTTTCCCTTC